GTGGATGCGGAACCTGAGCGTTCCACTGAGAAGTTGACTAGGGTGACTAGATGAGGGTGCCCCGAATACCGGGGAAGGCAGGGTTTCGCCGGGTAGCGGTCACGGGTGAAGATATGCCCCCCTGTCCCACACATCATACATACGTAAATGCATCTAAATACATAGACATACAGACAAACGTGAATGTGCGCCCACACACGTGCCCAGCCTGCTTCGGAAGGCCGTAACTACACCACAGAATCACACCTGGTCTGTTTCCCAGCTTCCGGAGTCCATCTATGCGGCTACTCAACGGCCCTGTGCCCGTACCAACGGCCGGCGTTCCTCCTGCTGCTGCAACTGCTTCAACGGCTTGTCCAGTTACTCCACCTGCTCCTCCAACCAGTTTTGCAACGGTTTCTCCAACCAACCCTTCGTCCACATTAACCGCCAATGCGCTCTGGGCCATCTGCTGCGGGGTTACAGGCAGCGGTGCCGTGTCCGCCAGTATGGCATGCCCCGCCGCCGCGGCGGAGGTAACCTCCACCGCTGCGTCCACCACCGCCGCCACCGCCACGTCGGCTGCGATACCCGCCGCCGCCAGGCGCTCCTCTGCCGCCCTTCCCACTGTGGTCTGTAGCCAGATTAGGCGCTCCAGGGGAATCGACTCGGGCGACCCTGGGGTGTCAGGTACGGCCCATTGAAGGAGCGTTTAATGACCTCCTGATCAATTTCCTCAAAACTTCCTAACAAGAAACCTCAATCCTGTACAGGGCCCCCTTTCCTGTGAACCGTGCTTAGGGTATGATCCCCTTCGAAGTGCTGTTGGGCGGGTGCTGTTCGAGCCGTGATACATACAGCCTTAGGGTTTTCGCCTCTGGGTAACTTCCGAAAAAGAGGGCCCTTAGCGGCTAAGACAGGGTTTGGTTTACGCGGACAGCACCAACCGGTGATCTGTTTGGAGCTGCTGCAGTATCGTGCATTCAATTAACGATGGAAGATTAAAAACCTTGTTAGTAAAACCTCAGTTAGTAAAACCTTGGTGAAACCCTAGTAAGACCTTAACACCCTAACAAGGTTTTGTGTCGAAAGAACATTTCCAAGCTCTACAGGTCTAACAGGTCCAACAGGCTCTGTTGCGAAACTCAAATAAAATTTGAGGTCTTGAAGACCAGTCCGGGCGACCATGGTAAATTCCATAAAAGGCACGACTACTGCGATGGTCGCATTCCTCCGGAGGTGCACCACGGCTTCTTCCAGATCAGTCCCCAACGCACCGTCAACGCTGTAGCGGGGAGATTCGCCTTCATTCCTGCCGTCGTTCCATTCACCACCGCTGCTACTGCCGTTCTTGCCGCTATCTCCACCACCGCTGCGGCTTCTGACGGTGCCGTTGCTGATCGAGAAGCCGCTGCTGCTGCTACTGCTATTGCCGAAGCCTCCGTTGCCAACCCCAGGACTACTGCCTTTGCCGCCGCCGTCGCCGCTACTGCGGGCTTTGACCTTACTGCTGGTGTTGCTGTCGCTAGCGCCTTTGCTATCGCTATTTTCTTTGCTGCCGCTGCTTCCGTTGTCGCTACCGCCGCTGCCGGTCTTGGCGCCGACGATGCTAATATTGATACTGTCCTTGCCGCTACTGCTTTTGCTGCCGCTGCTGCTGCTACTGCCGTCGCTTCTCGGGGCCTTGGGAGTAGCTTGGTTGGCGGCCATCGCCCCCGTCGTCGTCACCCCAGTACTTGTCATTGCCGTGCTCTGCGCCATGTGCCGCCGTTGAGCTGCGGGTGCGGGGCCCTCAGCCTTGGACACCTTTGCAAAAGTTGCAAAAGAGTCTGTGTTCGAGCCTCATTACGGACGAGTTCAATCCATGCTGGCTAATAGTCACAGGCAAGCAACAGCCTTTGCAACGAGCAGAATTCATGACTGAGTTTTAGCGAGAGTCATCAGTTGCCATGGTAAGAGCCCCGACCCACAGCAGCAAGCTAGCTACCAAGCAGGCTGGCGGGCAGGCTGGTAGCGGGCTGTTAAGAGCCGCAACTTGCCGTACATATGCCGTTCAGAAGCCGCGGAGGACGCCTCCGCTGGCTCGGTGCAATGGACACACCTAAAACACTTCAACACTTCCGGACAAGATGGTGATGGAAAGCTAGCCCGCATTCTATTTCACCTCTTTCCCCCAGCACTTTACCCCCTCCACCCCGCTTCCCACGTGCAGTAGACACTTAGTACGAGACGGCATGGTTGAGCCATCCGCTTGCACATGCATGAGCAAACATTTCTATCCCCTTTCCGCCTTTCACACCTGCCCGTCCATCTCCACGCCCAGGACGCCCCCAGGCCCCAAATAGCTTCTGAGGCAAGCCACGTCTTTCTGGGTGAAGGCGCCCGAGACGCCTAGGAAGTGGGAAGTAAGGAGTGGGTGGAGGTGAATCAATGAAGAGGAATTAACAGGTTCGGAGGTCGTGAGGTGAAGGGATGACGCACCGCTGACCGTGTACAACGAACACATACACACACACAGTAATGCATAACACAGTAATGCATAGCGGGCCACGGTGGAGATGCTAAGAGGCACTTAAGTGACAGCGGCAGACGCTGGATGATGAGCGCTGGCCTCCGTTGGGGCGGCCTTGCTCCTCGTTCCGCTGCGCTCACAGCCTCCCGCGCCTGAATTCGCAACTGTGGCCATTCTCTCACCTCGCTTTTCCAACCATTATTGGCCTCATCGTTTCCTGCAGCCATCCCCGTCCCGTGTTCCCTCGAGCTCACCATGCAACACGGCGCTGTAGAAGTGACGGCACTTGTCGCGTAGCTCGCAAAGGCAGCTACTGCCAGAGTTTCTTTTGCTGCTACTGCCGCCGCTGCCACGGACACCGTGGGTTCCTCGGCTGCGCATGTTGCTGTTGCTGTTGCTGTTGCTGCTGTCCAGCATTCGTCCACTCTCTGCCACCGCCGCCTTCGCCTTCGCCTCCACCGCCGCTGCCGTTGCCGTAACTCCAAACGGGCTCCCGGCTATGGCCGCCGCCGCCGCTGCTGCCGCATCTGCTATCGTAGATACGTCGACCCCGGCCCCTGCTACTGCCGAGTTTCTACGGCTGATACGGCTGCTGCTGGTGATATCCTGCCGACATTTGGCACTTCCACTTGTTGAGTTGCTCCAATGAAGGCTAGCGCGTAGCGGGTCCCCGCAATCGCCGTCGTGCAGGTGCTGATGGGAGGGTGCATGCAGCTGCCGAGAGCCGCCGCTGCCGCCAACAGCCCTGTGATCCAAATAGAACTGCGCCTCCGCTACCTCCACGTCCTCTACCCCCGACGCTGTCGCCTCTACCGCCGCTGCTACTGCCACTGCTGCCGCAGCAGCCTCTGCTGATGCTGATGCTGCAGCCGCCGAAGCTGTCTCCTGCCGCTGCCCCAGGACCTGCCACTGCAGCTGCTGCCGCTGCCGGCGATGCAAGATGTGGTGACGTTGGCAGGGCACCGCCTCCGCTGCTGGCAGCTCCTTGAGTGTCGGGTTGCAGCACGAGCTCTCCACCTCGTAGTCGCTGGGAAGCTTCTGGAGCTCCGCCATGTGACCACGGGGGTGTCCTAGGGGTTGTCCTGAACCTAAGGCCACGGGCTGTGTCGTTAGGGTCAGCGATGCCGCGTCGCCATTGCCGTACGGGGGTGACGGAGAGGCGTCCGCCAAGGCGACAGGAGCAGTGCTGCTTCGCGTCGCCGCTGTTGCTGCTGCTGCACCGGTAGAGACCTCTTCGTCGTTGCAGCTCCCGCCGTCGCCTCCGACACCATTGCTGTTTTTGTTGCTGCTGCCGCTGCCGCTGCTGCTGCTGCTGCTGCCGCCACTACAGCCCGTGCTAGTGCGCGTATTGTCGCGCCCTGTTGGCGCCACTGCCGCGCCACACTCGGCGTTATCCACGGCGTACCTTGCAGCTTCCGTCCTTTGTGCGACAGTGGTGCATCGGATGCCGTACAGACTGGCGGAGGCGACAGCGTCGCAGCCGGCGTGGTGTCCCTGACAGAGGCGCCGTACAAGATCCAGCTCGGTGGATCCCTGGATTAGGCCGGAGTGTGTGCGGGTCAGGAAGCATAATTTCTGGGCGGGAGAAGGGCCTTAAAGGAAGGTGCACGCGAACGGTCCTTCCGCAGAAAGGAGCATCGGGGCAAAAAGATTTGGATGCCTTGCAGGTATGCAACTGCAGGGAAACACTTTCTGCTGTGTTTTACAAGTTTTGCAGAAAAAATGGGTGTCCACATTTTTACAGGCGTTGCTATGGATTGCGACTGACGGCCTTCGGATAAAGCTGTTGCTTTGACAGCTCCTTCGGCGATGACAAGTCCTCGAAGTAGCTTTGCACGCCGATGTAGGCAGGTGTGTCGTACCCTTAACGTGATTATTCTGTGCATTTGCCTGTCCCGAATTTTGGATGAAGTGGGTCGCATGCTGCCGTGGCCCATGGTTTGGCGGTTAACGATGGAAGCTCGAGCTGATGCCTCGGCTTGAAACTGAGCTGCCTGATTCAAGAGGAATGTAAGGAGAATTAAGGAGGTCGCATTCGTTAAATGCTTCACAACCATCGTTGTGATAGCTTTGTCGCTGTCGGTCACGCCTGCAAGCAAAGCCTCCCGAGCACTTAAGCACAAGTAACAAAAATGTATCTAAAATGCGCTTGGCAATGTAGCTATAAGCAGCTACATGACTCCTAGTTAGCGGCAGAGCTAAAGTTTTGACAGCTTGAAGTTGAAGGGTCGGAGTCGTACGAAATGCCGTCCAACGGGACGGCAGGAAGAAAACCTAGGAAACTTTGGTAGAGAAAGTTTAAGTTGTTATCGTACGCAAGGTTATCCATTTGTTTCCTGTATAGAAGAGCCGCCGCCGCCGCCAGGTGTTGCAGCTGCACAACGACTTAGCAGTGGTAGGGAGGGCTTCGGGCTGATTATTTTTTTCAGACAAACCCTTTTCTACTATTAGGCGTATAAGCGCACTGGGCAGTCCCTGCGAGTCGCCCTAAAGGAAGGCACCCAGCAGGATGCCGACCTACAATCTCAAGGCTATTGGCGTGGTGCCGGGTGCCAAGGACTTTATTGATATTGTCCTTTCTAAGACGCAACGAGGCACTCCCACTGTTGTGCACAATGGTTGGGCTATCCAGCGCATCCGCCAGTTCTATATGCGCAAGGTCAAATTCACGCAGCAAAACTGGAACGAGAAGCTCTCTCAAATTCTGGAGGAGTTTCCGAAAGTCGAGGACATTCACCCTTTTTACGCGGACCTGCTTAACGTGCTATATGACAAGGACCATTACAAGCTGGCGCTGGGCCAAATCAACACAGCTCGCAACTTGATTGACCGCGTTGCTCAAGGTAAGCCGTCAGAGCGAAACGCGTGTTCACCGAACCCAGCGCGACTCCGCTGCGGCGGCCGCCAGGGCATCGGCCCGCGATACGACCAGTTGTGGGAGCGTTCCCGTGTAATAGACCCTGTCCACGAGCTTGAAACATCCCCGGTCAACGCGGCCTCTGGTCCTTATGTAAGGTCTGCTGCTGCTCCTGCTGCGGTAGCTGTGCACGAGAGGGGGTTTTTTAGTGCGGCAGTGGTGCTCCCCCTGCCCCTTCCTTGCTGAGAGCTCAGAGTCGGCTGAGGGGGGAGCTCATCCGAAGCCAGTTATGGGGTTAAGTTCCCGGGGTGTGTGAAATGAAACTCCCGGAAAGGTCGGGAACAAAAGACAGAAGACAACAAACAAAATATGAACGTCAGGCGACGTTTGGCACTGATCTAACGAAAGCAGGTTTTGCCTAGCTCTCTTAAGGTTGACCAAAGGTTACTTTGCACGGAACTGAACAGCCAACACCAATGTTACCGGACGAATTACATTACTGAATCTCCAGTCCCTGTCTATTTGCGTTTGCAAGTTTCCTCGCCACCTTCATCTCCACCTGCCTCCGAAACCACGGGGGTACGATGCGCGCCGCTGTGGAAATATAAAAAGACCAACAAACTATTCCTGCCTCTCTCCCCGCGCCTCCCTCCCCCCCCATGGCTCTCTCCCCCCTCCCGGGTCTGACGCCATCCGCCGCCAGATTACATTCGTTTGCTGAAGTACGGCGACTCGCTGTACCGATGCAAGGAACTCAAACGTGCCGCTCTGGTGAGTCATTACCATCCGCATCCCCACCCCCGCTCTCGCCCTCACCACCCCCACCACCACCACCTGGCCTCGTCCCGCCTTCCTGTCACCTCCTTGACGACAGCTCCGAAACCCTCTCCTCCACTCGTTCACTGATTCATGTTCCCCACACCGCCAAAACCGCCACTCCACTCCACTCCACCTTTAGACGGTCGTCAGCTGGCCATTTGCTCTCTCCCGCGCTAACCACACAATGCTTTACAGGGCCCCCCACACACACCCCACACACACATACGCGCACTCACACAATGGGCTCCAAAAGGACTATTACTACTACTATGCGCTTCTTCACGTACTCCCCACCCAACCCAACCTCCCTCCCAACCTCCCTCCCAACCTCCCTCCCAACCTCCCTCCCCTACCCAACCTCGTCACCTCGTAGGGGCGCATGTGCACGCTGATGAAGCGGCAGGGGCCCTCCCTGGCGTACCTGGAACAGGTGGGACCAGCTGGAAAGGGGGTGGGGGAGGGGGATAGGGGGCGGTGGGTGGGGAGGGTGTGGGGGGGTTGCAGAGGGGGATGGTGGCAGGGTTGCGGGGACGGCAGGGAGGCTGGCTGTGTGGGGGAGGGGCCGGTCTGGAAGGGTGTGAAGAAGACATGCTGCGAGAGCTCTTGAGAGGAAGGTTGCGGGTCCAGCGAACCTTGGGCAGGTGGTAGGGGCTTAGGAGGGAATGGGAGCGGAAAGGGTGGGGTGGGGGGGGCTTAGGGGTGGGATGGAAGACACCCCGTATGCAAGAATGCCGTTGGCTACAGAGTCAACTACCCGAAATGGGGTCTTGGGGGAGAGGAGGGGAGAAAACCCGATGATGAAGGGGGGTTAGGGTTTTGGGGGGCTGACTGAGGGACGGACAGACAGACGAACAGACGGACGGACGGGAAGGGCAAGGCCTGATCACATTTGGGGGTGGGCCGATATCCCAGTTTAAAAGTACTCGAGTTGCGGGAGGGGCAGTTGTTGGGGGTGGCAGCAGGAACCACACAACGTCTGTCGCCTTTATGTGTGTGAAAATCGTCCGGTCCCTCCCCGCCTTCCTGAGCATTCACTGAGGGAAGTTTTGAGCTTTGGACGTCGGCACTGTGTTTCCTTGCGTCATATGATTTCCCCCACCTGCCCACCTGCCTGGGACTAGCGCAGTTGCTTTATGTGCGTGTGTGTGTTTACCACTGGAGGTGTGTGTGTGTGTCTGCGTGTGTGGGTGTCTGTGTGTGTGTTTTGGACGTGTTTTCCCCCAGGGGATCTCCTTAGCTGCATCTTCTTTAATTGCATTCCATCGTTCCACATCCTTCCCAATTTTCAATTTTCAGACAGAAAACACACACTGTCGCACACTGTCACACTGACACCCCTTCTCTGCCGCTGCAGGTCCGGCAGCACATGAGCCGCCTGCCCTCCATCGACCCCAACACACGCACCCTGCTGCTGTGCGGCTACCCAAATGTGGGCAAGAGCAGCATGATGAACAAGCTGACGCGGGCGGATGTGGAGGTGCAGCCGTACGCTTTCACGACAAAATCACTGTGAGATGTCGTACCACCTGTACCACGGGCAGCGGGGGTGCCTAACCCGAAAAAGGCGGTGAAGGGTTTTGTCTCTGTTGCGCTTTGCTATTTTTCGGTATAGGTCGAACCCGGATTCTGTGGGTGTGTGTGGGGGCAGGAGTTGAGCTGGGAGCCGCTTCTGGGTTTATTCGTATCGCGTTCTCGAACGAAAAATCGTCAGGTCCCTTCCTCCGGTCCATGTGACAGCAGTTTTGGTTCTTTATGTTTGGACACAAGTCGCCGCATTTGCTGCTACTTTTTCCTTGTGCATCAGCATTAGATTGATTGTCATTATTTACTTCATCATCAGGATACAACCCCCCTCTCCACTCCCCTTTTTACCCACCTCTGTCTTTATGTATGTATGTATGTATTATGTGTGTCTATGTTCAGCTATGTTGGCCACATGGACTACAAGTACCTGCGGTGGCAGGTTATCGACACGCCGGGTATCCTGGACCGCCCCCTGGAGGAGCGCAACACCATCGAGATGCAGTCCATCACCGCCCTGGCGCACCTGCGGGCGGCAGTGCTGTATCTGGTGGACATCAGCGAGCAGTGCGGGTACACCATCGTGCAACAGGTAGGTGGGTGTGGGGGGGTGTGTTTGGGGGAAGAGGGAGGGGTGGGAGGGGGGAGATGTGTGTGTGTATGTGTGTATTGGGGGGACGTTGGGCGGCAGGTGTATGGCGGGGTGGTGTTGGTGGAGTGCGAGTGGAGGGGGGGGGGCGTGGGGGCCCGGGTGATGGGGGCGGCTTGCTGTGGCTCAAAATCAACTCAACATTGCCACCATCGCCCCCTCCATCCTAGGAACTTTTGGATTGAATTTACGATTGAATTTTCGGTTGCACGGCCGTACGGCATTCCCTTGCAACCCAGTGTTTGCTTCCCCGGCTTTCCCCCCCTCCCCCGCCGCTCCCGGCGTGGTCCGGTGTGTGCTGGCTGTCCCCCAGGCTGCGTTGTTTCACTCCATCAAGCCCCTCTTCGCCAACAAGCCCGTGCTGATAGTGGTCAACAAAATTGATGCCAGACGCATGGAGGTGGGGAGGGGGGAAGGGGGGGGAGGAAAAAGGGAGGGGGGAAACCCGGCGGGAGGTATGTATGTATGTTTGTTTGTTTGTTTGTTTGTATTCGGGAAAAGGAGTAGGAAGGCTGTGGGCAGGGCCCCAGCGGCCTTTGCTCATCCTTTACATTCCTTTTTTAATTTCCGTACCTGTTTGCAAAAAGATGACGTGTCATAACTCGTCGATGTGCCGGGTTATGGTGTGTCACCAGGACTTGTCCGAGTCGGATCGGCAGCTGGTGGATGGCATGGTTTCGGAGGCTAGGAAGATGAGTAATGGAGGTGAGGGGGGAGCCAGGGGAAGGAGCGCAGGCTGACAGGCTGGGTAGTGGGTAGGTAGGTAGGTAGGTAGGTGGGTGCGGGGATGGGGTGGCGGCGCTCGTGTGTGTATGGGGCGGCGGGGGGATGGGGTGTGCGTGGGGTGAGAAATAGGTCGGGAGGGAGGGTGGGTGGGTCGGCGAATATTCAGTTCTCTTAATGACCCAGTTGCTTGGTTTGCCTTTCTGCTTTACACGTCTATCTGTCCATACGTCTGTCTGTCTGCCTGCCTGTCTGTCTGTCTCAAGTACCTGTGTAGGTTCTTCCCGTGGCGTAGTGCTGTGTGTTTCTACTCTATCCCCCCTGGACCTCTTGGACACCACCGGCAGCAGTTCACTTCCCGCTTTCTCACACATGATTTCTCCCCCCCCTCCTTATACACACACATACACACACCAGTTCGTATCCTTTTACCCCTCCTGGCAGCAGCTTCACTCGTCTGTGGTTTGTGTCCCCCCCCCGGGCTCCCCTGCCCCGCGCATTAGTAAACTGCGTATCTGTATGCTTGTCTACCCGTCTGTCGGTCTGTGTCCCCGTAGGGGTGGTGTCGGTGGGTAGCGACTCGAGTACGGATGAGACCATTCTCATGGCCATGTCCACTCTGAACGAGGAGGGGGTTATGGCGGTGAAGCAGGCGAGTTTTGGGGGGGAGGGGGCGGGGTGGCGGGGGGCTGACAGGGGGGGGAGGAGCTGCACTCCAGCAAGCCGGGATGGATTTCACCAATCAGTGGAAAAGGGAGGGCGAGAGAAAAGAACAGCTCTCGGAGAAAATCCTTTTCAAAACCCATACACGCACACACACAGACTACGGCAAAAGCGTCGTGTGGCAGCTGTTGGGATCCATGCCGTACAGCGGTTTTCGGAAACTGAGCTGTGAGAGGTAACGGAAGGTAACGGAAGCATAACCAACTGGCCGAAACAAAATTGTCGTTGTTAGGAGAAACATTCCTCGTCCCCTTTTCCCCTCGGGGCGCGCGCGCGTGGGAAAAAACCCAAACACGCAATAAAAACCACATGCCGCACGGCTGCGGACGTTTACCCATACCCATACCCACACCGCCCGCACGTGCAGGTTGCGTGCGACCGGTTGCTCAATTTCCGTGTGGAGATGAAGGTTTCCGGGAAACGTATCGGCGACGTGCTCAACAAGATTCACGTTGCTCAGCCCCGGCCTCGAGAGGGCGTTACGGCGGGCAGCCGGCCCCCTGTCATACCGCCCGGGGTGGCGGAGGCGCGGGCTCGGCGGGCGGCGGGCGAGGTGAAGAAGACGGAGCGAGACCTGCAAGAGGAGAATGGAGGCGCGGGTGAGTGGAGGTGGCCTTGGTCGTGGTGGGAAGGGAATGGGAGGGGAGGGGAAGAGGAAGGGGGAAAAGGATGCATGTTGCCTGGTGTTGTGTTGTACTGTTATGTCGTACATTGACGAAGCGCGTCGATGCGTATGTGCACGCTGTGTCTTTTATGTTCAACTCTGGGGCTCCAGGCCGAGTACTGTTTTTGTTAATTGTGAAGTGAGCTGCTAAGGGTTGTAGGACCTACCCCCACGTTCGTGGAATCGCAGGTGTCTATTCCGCCGACCTGCGGAAGCATTACAGCCTTGAAAATCCGGAATGGAAGTACGACATCATGCCGGAGATTATGGACGGCCATAACGTTTTGGATTTTGTGGATCCGGACATTGACGCTAAATTGGCCGAGCTGGAACGGGAGGAGGCCGAACTGGAGGTGGGTGGTTTCGGAGCCGGGTGATTTGGTGGCGGGGGGGGGGAAAGGCCAATGGATAGTTAAAAACCCCCGCCCTGTGTTTTTTCCCTCTTTACTCTCTCTTTACCCAGTACTATCTGCTTACGTCTGTGCATTGTTATAGCGGCATTCTTGATGTCGTCCTATTCTGGCAAGGGGACGTATCGATGCTTGATATCCTATTTTGGCACTGCCTCGTGACCCCACCCGCAGGCCCAGTTCCAAGCGGAGGGAGGCGGTGGAGGTATGATGGATGACGACGACGAGGAGGAGGACGGCCTGACGGTGGAGCAGCAGGAGGACCTAAAGGCCATCAGGGCCAGGAAAAAGGTAAGAGGCGCTGTGCTGCTGCTGCTGCTGCTGCTGCTGTGCTGCTGCCGGTGTTGGTGTGGTTCACGTGTTGTCGTGTGTCGTGTGTGTGTGGCTGGGGTTTGGTTGCTACCCGGGTGCCGTCCCTCCGGTGGTGGCTGCTGTGATGGCCCCCGTAAGTCGTCCCCTGAAGTCCTACCTAGAGTCAGTATGTATTCTCTCGCGGCTCACCTCACCGCGGTCGGGGAACCTGAGCAAGGGGCGCTGACAAAGGAGGACACCACCCCGCACTCGCAACCCCCCTCCCATCCGGACCCACCGCTACCCCCCTCCCATCCGGACCCACCGCTACCCCCTCACTGCCACACACACACACACACACACACATCTCTACACGTCTCTACACACGTCTCTACACACCTCTACACAGGTACTGGTGGGGGAGCACCGCTCCAAAAAGAACAGTCATCGTAACCAGGCGGTGCTGCCCGCCAAGTTGGCCAATGCGCGGGGACGTACGACGGAGGCGATGACACGCAGCTTGGGCGCCCTGGGCATCGACGCGAGCAAGGCAGCGGAGCGGGCTCGCAGCCAGAGTCGAGGTCGGAAGCGGGAGCGCAGCGCCAGTAAGGCACGCAGTGAAGACGGTGGAGGGGGTGATGATGTGGAGATGGGGGAGGGCAAGGAGGAGAAGAAGCGCGTGCACAGCTCCAAGTCGAGGTATGTGGGGTGTGGGAGGGAGGGTGGCCCGGCTATGTGTGAAGGTGTGGGCTGGCGTCTATGAGCATGTGGGTGAGGACGCGGTAGGCGATTAGTTGGCGGAGAAGAGTGGGGGGCGGGGATGCGAAGCTTTGTCGGGGGGATGCTGCGTGGTAAAAAGGGTGCAACTCTCTTCCGTGTCCGGCTTTGTGTTTGGAGCTGCTCGGAGCGTGCCGGCACCCGCTTGGTGCCTTGACGCGTGCGCGAAACAATGTCCCGCTTCGTCCTCCCTCACCTACCTCACCCCATCTCGCCCCCCTCACCCCCCCTCCCCGCCCGCCCGCCTCCCCAGGTGCATGTCCCGGGGCCGCAGTCAGTCGCTGGCGGAGCCCCGCCCCGGCTCGGGTGTGAAGGACGTGGCGCAGCGGAACAAGGGCATCAAGATGGCGGACCGGGCGCAGAGGCGCATGAACAAGATGGCCAAGGTGGGCGAGTCGGACAGGGCCATACCGACCAAGATGCCCAAGCACCTCTTCAGCGGGAAAAAGCCCGGACACAGCACGAGGAACCGCCGGTAGACACGGCCGTGTATGGTGGGGAAGAGGAGGGGGAGGGGGAGGGGGAGGCACAAGAGGAAATATAATGCTGGACTCTGTATGTATGTATGTATGTATATGTGTATGTATGTATGCCAAGAGGTCCCCGGCGCAGGCGGCGAAAGTGTCCCAACAGGGAACACTCGCGGTTGCTCCCCGGGGGGGGGGAGGGAGGCAGGTGCGCCGCCCTCGCCAGGGGTGTGTGTGTGTGTGGGTTGTGGTGGCAGCTGCTGCTGCGGCTGCTGCACTGAATGGCGCCGCCGCCACTGTGCTGCACTGGATTGATGTCGCGGCTCCTCTTGGGACGGCTGTGCCAGTGCTGACTGGCGGGATAAGCAGACAGCGGCGGAGGACATGGGTTGGCGGGATAAGCAGCTGGAGGGGGTTGTGAAGGCCGGGGGGAGGAATGGAGGAGGGTTGGGGCGGGTGTGGAGGGAAGATGAGGAGGAGGGGTCCGCCGGTGCTTTACCAGATGTGAGTGAGTGTGCTGCTCGGGTTCGGTGCTGCTATTGTACTCTGGGGAGGTAGCTGTATGGGGTTATGGGCCGTTTAGGGGGACAGGCGGGGGCTCCTCGTGGTGGGGGGAAGGGCGGCGAGGGAGGAGGGTAGCAGGTGGGTAGGGGCAGGTAGGGGCACCCACCCAGCTGCGTGTGTGTGGGGGGGTTGGGGGGGATCTCTTAATTTCTTTTGATGTGTAGGATCGGGTGGCGGCTTCGGTGGGCTGTTTGTTGTGCGCAGCCGAAGTCGCAGTGCCTGGCGGGGGAGACGGGGGAAACGGGAGGGATGGGGTTGACTTCGGATTTAGGTGGATTGGACTGTCACACGATCTTGCGATGATATTATTTCTGTGTTTAGTTGGGTAAGTAGGTGGGTGGGTAGGTAGGTGGGTAGCGTGTGTGCTGCTTCGTTGAGGATTACACGTTTGCCTCTTTGCGTGTGGTGGTTTTCAGAGGGCTTCTTGGCGGCCCGTTTCGGCGCAGGCCGGTGCGATACGGTAGTGTTTTGATCAGATGGTCGATGATCGCAGACACCCTGCGACGCGGTTTTATTCGGTGCGGCGTTCGAGAGCGACTTGGCGGGCAACTAAGGCGTCCCTGAAACTCATGACTGTGCTCTAATCCTTCATCAGGGCGGTTAACAGCTCTGTCAAGGGCTGCAGCAGAAGCTGCTGGACGCTGAGAGCGCGCCACGGGAAGGCTCTTCGGCAGTAAGGGAAGATGTTGTCCCGCACAGGGCTATGGGGCAGCCCAGCTGATTGACTCTGCCTCAACCTCAAGGCGAACCTACAGCAATTCGTGTGCAATCTGTATGTTTTACCGTAACTCTTATCTTCTTCCCACAGTATGCATGGAAGGTTGTAATTTCTTTCGAACAGAACTTTTAGCGAGACGATCGGGTCGACGTATGGGACCTGCTGATGGGAACCTTCTTACACGGCCCTTTCTCTCGTGCACGTCGTGCACAGCTCACTATATTGTAATGTCTGTCGTACTAACGGGTTGGGGAAAAAGGTCGTTGGGCCCCAGCTCGTTGCCCTACCATTTAATGTAGTACTGACTTTAGTAATACAGAATCGCTGCTCCATTCTCCCCGTTGTCAGTAAGGGCCATCTATGCAAGCTTATTGGCCCAGTGAAGTTCAGAATGAACGCATAATTACTCGTTGCGTTTTAAACGCAGCAGCTCGACTTACTTCCTTTGGCATCCTGGCGAGAAAGAATTTGAAGCAGTAATTATACTATTTAATAAGACTTTGGACAACGGCGTCAGCACGTTGGGTCCTGTCGCTAGCGGCGCCTCAGCACGACACCTAAAACTCTCAAGAGGCCTTCACATGGTAGCCTTTGGCTGCATCATACACTTTCTTCTTCTTCTTCTTCATTTATTTCTGCAAACTGAGGCTTCATTAGTGGCAGTCTATTCAATTCAACGGCATGGCGCACGCAATGTCCTTCGCAAAGGGGCCCTTCTGACCGAAGATGCCCTCGTCGGTGGCCCAACGTTGCTACCCGAAGGGCAGCGGCAGACATACACGGCAGGTCGGTGGCAGTCCTTGCTTAGGCCACCCAGACAGGCAACTAGCTGGCATGACAGCAGAGACCAAGCCAGCCACGGCTGGGAACCCCCGGGACCGAATAGCCGTTAGATTGCTGCGTAACTGGCTTGCTCTCCCTAACAATTGGGGCTACAACCCAACCCCTTCATCTCCCTGTAGGCGTCTCCTTCCAGAACCGCTACCTCAACAGTAGTACATGTACCGCCACTTCGACCTGCCTACCGGGGCGCCGTAACGGCACCAAGTACGGCGTGCTCGGGCAACCAGGAATCGGATACGGTGCGACGAAGAACACTTCCACACATAATGATGTGTTTTTGGTCCAAGGATCCCTCCAAGGGTTTTTAAGTGCCCTCTGCACCTGTTTGTAAAAACGTATTAGCGATTCTCGAAGCTCCGCAGTCCTTTTGGTTCCCTTTCCCTTCCATCTTCGCGGCCTACTTCTTACCTCCACACGTGTGCGCCTCCGTGCGTTCCCGCTCCTCCTAGGCAATTTCGATGTCTATGTGCGGAGCAGCGCCTTGGACCGATCCATCCTGTCCGGACTCTGCTTCTTCAACGGCATCTTCCCACCGGACCCAACCGCCCCAACCGCTTCGTCGTTCGTCCCAACGGGCGCCCAGGTGATGGAAGCGGGCGGATCGACACAAAAACTGCCTGTCCTGGTGGTTTGTTCGTTCGTCGGCTGGCGATTAGGGAAAACGGTTCCTGCCTGTTTTGGAGATTTTAGAAGGAGAAGGAATTGAGACTACGTGTGTGCCTTCGTGGTGTGTTTTCCCCCCCCACACACACCAAATGCTGTCCCTCACACCCCACCCCGTGTTGCCTAGCCCATCGCTCCGTTAACGTTGTGCTCCGCGCTCCTACTTAATGGATGCAGGTGGTCCCGATCTACACCCAATCCGATGATGACGACATCCTCATCCGCGCCTACACGAAGTGCGACACCTACCAGGCCAACCTCATGAAGTGGTTCTCCAGCCAGGAGTTCGCCGACAAGGCCGCCGAGTCGGCGCCGCTGCGGGCTCAGGTGCAGCAGATGATGCCGCCGGACACGAACACATCCCTCACCAATTGGTACGGCAAAGGTGTACGATGTACGACATGAGTGTATTGTTTGATTGTGCGTGTGCGGAAATGTGCGGAAAGGGTGTGTGTGGGGGGGAGAAGCCGTGAACCATGATGCAAATCGGTCTCCCGGCCCCATTTGCCGTACAGTTTTTACACACTTGTTATGAGCTGGTTGCTTCATGTTTGTGACCTCCTTCGTTTTGCCGCTCCTAGCTGCTCGCTGACCTAGGGGCTCCACCCGCCTGCTGTACGGCGCAGGTGGAACGTGTACGACAGTATCAACGTCTACCAGACGTACGGCGTAGGCGACCCGGTGCCGCAATTCAACAGGACCCTCTTCCAAAAGGTCGGTTGTGCCGTTGTGTGCATCGACGAAGAGCTGGTCGATGAAAAACGAAAGAAAAGAGTCAACGGTCTGGCATCTGGTGCACACACGCATTTGTGCAATCCTCTTAAAGCCAACATCAGCACCCACCATTTCTACCACACAAATAAACATGACGGACGCGAAATGCTTTCACATACACACCACACACACACTTCTACGTTTGGTTGCCTGTTTTTTATTGCTTCGTCCGCCGTACTGTCGTATACAGATCCAAGATCTGGCGTACTGGTTGGAGACTGCCAAGATGCGGTCAAACTTGACAGGCAACATGCTGGGTGGCGTGGCGCTTGCGGATCTCGTCAACTACTTTCAGTTGGCCGCAACCGGCGCGACCAACGGCACTAAGGTGTGGCGATAAGGCCCGCTTTGTTAATTAAAACCTTGCCATCCCAACCCCCCGATTTTCTCTTTTCAACCACTTTCCTGTTTCCTAGGTGAATGCACTTTATCCCTGCACCTAGGAAACTCATTCCCGTTGGTATCGCAACCAACCAACAAATCGGTTGCGATAACGGTCGGGGCCTTGCGTGTGACGACGCATCTTTCCATGGTCGTCTAATTGGCGCTGATTTAGATTTAATCTCATTTATTTGCTTTTGGCATTTATAGCGTAAAAGCGTGTTATTGCTTTTGAACGCAAGGGGTGACGCAAGAAGCAGTCTGTTGAGTTGGCGCCCAGTTGGTGCCCAGTTGCACTTTACCCGCAGAAATGCCTTACTCTACCTTACTCCTCTTGCTCTCTCTTTTCTCCCTCTCCCAGTTTTTTTTCTTTCCCATTCTTGTTTATGCGCCGTACGCCGTACCCATTAAAAAACCCGATGTTTATGTCCAAGGCACGCGGGGTCTCTCCCAGCTACCGCGCCTTTGCCGTTCTGTAAATTGCGTCACGCCGCGCGCGCGCCGCATCGCAGTTTTACTACAAGCTGCTATCGCTGTCTGGTCATTACAATACCCAACTGGGCATACTGGCGGCTTTGGAACTGGACAAATGGCCTGGTGCCAGCAACTTCACATGGCTGACGAGTTTGCCGAAGCTGGCTGCCGTACTGGTATTCGAGCTGCATGCCGCTGACGATAGACCGCCCGTAGTTACTGCTCCATCGTACTATGTACGGCTGGTGTACCAGGACGGTCCGGCGGCGCAGTACGACACAGTTCCGTTGCCGTGCGCGTCGGCCGCCGGCGCTGCAGCAGTAGGCCCTGGGGTCTGCACCTTGGGGGATTTTTTGTCGTACACATCAGCGAGGGCACTGAACAGCTCGCTGGCATGGTGTTCGGCGTGCAGCAATTTCGCGCCAGGTGCCTGCGCGTCGGCGCGGCTTGCTGCGCTCAGGGCGGCGCGAGGGGGCGATGATGGTGACGGAAAAAATGGCGGCGGTGACGCGGAGGCTTGGAAGGTTGCGGTGTCCGTGGTGGTGACGTTTTTCGGGGCGGTGATGCTGACGGCCGTAGCTGTGTGGCTTTGGCAGCGACGGCGGCATGGAGGCCAGGAAGGCGGCTTCGGAGGTTCACTCACCAACCTGCAGACTGCTGAGATGGCGGAGTATCAGAAACATTCAATTTAATAATGCAACGTGCTGTTAAGAACTGAAAATATTCAGGATCGAACAGGCGACAAACCGCGATAACCACTCAGATTGGGCAAAATAGGAAAAGCAAGACGCGGCGTGCGCAAAATTCAACGAGCACCTAACGAATTTCGAGAGCGCTATGGCGAACCCTATGGTGCAGGAAGAGCGCGCGTATATGCGGTCAGCTGTAGGAGCGAGCAGCCCGACTATGGTTTCGCTTTATCGCGTGCTGTCACAAAGGTCGCTCCAGTTCCGTTGGGCCAATCTTGTGCTAAGGTTCTGGAACTCAGTTGTCAAGAGGCCAGGGACACTGTGCCACCTTGCCTTCATTGCCGACCTTGAGCTGGCTCTGGGGGGTGTTGCTGAGTGCTGGACGAGGAGCAAGGTCCCAGCTTTCCTTAAGTTTGGGAGCTGAGCCCCCAGCCGGTCTGCATGGTGACGCCCCCATAGCGCATTACGTTACCGTTAGGTTGCCAGTGGGAAGCAGCACACTTGAAGAGTTCGCTAGGCGTCTCGACGCCCGGTGGGAGTGCCCGGATACCCTAGGTGATCCACGCACCTTTCCAAGTGGAAGTACTGGCGTCAAGGCATGTCGCTATCTGAACTGGATGGGGTTGTCCCCGCTTAGGGGCACACGGCATGAGTGACTGGCCCACGCTGAAATCGCCATGTCCCAATGTTTGTATCAAATGCTTATGTGTTTCCGGTTAGGCTGTTGGGAGTTAAGAGATTGACCGACCAAACTGCCGTGAGCGCACAGCGCACACCTGCAGGCTCTGTGATTGCGGGGCGGTTGAAGACGAAATGCATGTCTTTGTGAAATGCCCGGCGTACACAAGTATGCAGGCTAAGTACGAACGTGACCTTCACGTCACCTTCAAGGGTGCAACATGCGCACGATTATGACCGAGGCTCCACCCCAGGCGCTAGCCAGGTTCCTCTCGGAAGTCTGGGAGACCCGGCACGTTGCTCTAAGGCTCTTCGTGCTCAAGCGGACGAGGGACGACAATGATGGTCCAGATGGTCCACCACGTAACCGCACTAAAAGGGATTTACCGTCCATGGCCCCCCCGGCTTTTATGGACACCCCCGCACTTGTGCGGAACTTGTAACTTGTAGCAGAGCACCTAGCATCCGGACCAAGTACACGCTTATGACCAGATGTTTTGCACACGGCCTAGTTGGCCCGTATGCAGAAGAGCGCGTCGAGATCCGTAGTTCGGCTGACCCAGTGGTCCATAAATGTCGGCCTATCCCACGTGCGGGTGATCATCCGGTATCCAGCCTAGGTCCGTTGCGGGTCGCGGTTTGCAGCGGTGGTACTTCTGCGTACAACGTGCTCCCTAATAAGCCTAGCACGCTTGCGTTTGGTCCCAAATATATTGAAATTGGTACTCATTGCATGCTCAGCTTCCTCTTAAATGGGCATAATCATTGTGTAGTTCTTGGAACGGGAAAATATTTCAGTGATTTATCCTATTGCTTGCGTACGTGCGTTTGGTGCTTGCGAGTCGAGATCGATCGATCGCCATTGTGCTACCCTATGGACCTTACAAAGTTAAGGACCGAACCAGAGAACACAGTGTCAATTCTTGATAATCTTTGGTAGTATATGTGTCAGTGGGTAGCGGAAGTGCGTCCCACCTTAGCGGAATTCACTCATACTTGGCCTCCCCACCGCGCCCAAAGGCGGGAGGTGGGCAGTGTTGACATTCGGCCAGAATACTGGTACTTGGGACGAATGTACGACAGATAGATGCGATGTTTGCTATAAAGGAAATGATGTTTCTATCGAGAGTATGTTCTGTGATACCTGTAACGGTTAAGGTTGGCTTTACCTACACAGTTCCATTCGCCTATATCTTAACAGGTTATGAGCCCCGCGCCGCCGCAGCAAGCGAGCGAGCGTTTTGCTTGAGTACTGTGTCCGAATTTGCTGGCTTAGCAATTCTCTGGCTTGAGATAGGACAAGTATGGGGAAGGACTATGATATCGAGCGCCTCGACAACTACGCCAATTATTTTCGCTGGCGGCATGAAGTACTGCCTGGCCGGCAAAGACCTATGGAACGAAGCAGCAGACCTGCCGAGCGCCATCGTCGAGAAATCCATGAAGGCGAAATCCCAAATGGTGAGATACACGGTGCCACGCTTTCATAGACTGATCGACCAAGCAGCCGACTCTGGGATGCAATCCGCGCTGAATGCGTATCTGAGATAGGAGCCAACATCCTGTTTATCAAACAAAAATTCAGCAATCTCAAGCAACGGACATGCCAGTCCACTATTGACTCCTTAGAGGAAGCGGAGGATCTGCGCGAACAGATGGTTGCAGTGGACTCGGAAATTGACGACAGCCAATTCGCCCTGGCCATCTTGGCCGGCTTTCACAAGCGGTTTCAAATGCAGCAGATGCTCTTTACTGCCAAGTCATTGAGCAAACTTAAACTTTCAAAAATGAGGAGCGGATGCAAGGTGATAGCAACGCAGAGTGAGCCCAGGTCGAGGCCCTGGAGTTTAACAACCGGAGCAGTGCGGGAGGCTACCGTGGCAGAGTGGGTAGAGGCCAAAGTAACGTCAACATCGGGGTGGGTAGCAGCTCCAGCGGGCCTGAGGTTTCGCTCAACCCTTACACAAGCCACAAGTGCCACAAATGTGGCGTTCTTGGGCACATCAAGTCCCAGTGTCCACTCATCACAAAGGGCAACAACAAGGGCGGCAACAGATGCAGCAAGCAGTTGGTGATGGCCCTAGCCACCTCCACCACCTCTGAAGCCGAAGAGATCAGGTCTGCGCTGAAAAGTCGCTTGCCAAGCTGGCTTGGAAAGTGGACTCGGCAGCGGTCGTCCATGTCACGGACGACCGTACTGATTTCAACGACTACAGACCGCTCACAGACGGCATTGTCCTAGAAGGTATGGTGGGTGCGGTTTGCAAGAGTGGGCACTGTTCTGCTAGAAGCTGAGGGAGAGAATGCCAAGGTCAAAATAACCCTGAAGAATGTGTATCATGCACCAGAATTAGGCAACAAACTGATTTCAGTAGGTAAACCAGGCTTGAAGGGTTACCATGTGGATTTTCGTGGACCGGTTGCTGTGATTAGGCAGCCAAAACGTGTTGTCTGTCAAAGACCAGGAAGCCATCTAGTATTTTCTCCGTAGATGAGGACTTGCTGCATTCCCAGATGGAGGAAAAGACGCAAGGGTATGCTTGGCCTTCACACATGGCTCACAAATACTCTTATTCTTCACCTTCTCCCGGACTTCAGCCACGCTCAGGCCCATACCAGTGACCATTTCAACGGACACAAGCTTATCTAGATTACTGTACCCTATGTGTCTGAACCGACAATACCAAAGCCCCACAGATTCAGACAGGACCGCCAGGGGTTGAATGCACTCCCCCTGGCCCAACCGGGTCGCCCACACACGGGATTTGCTCCCTGTACTCCCACTGCAGGCTTGTGTATTTCCTCACTAGTGGAGAAAATATTAGAGGGTTTCCTGGGCACTGGGTTTCCACAAGACGTTATGGCTGCCTAATCACAGCAACCGGTCCACGAAAGTCCACATGGTAACCCTTCAGGCCTAGTTCGCCTACCAAAATCAGTTTGTGACCTAATCCCGGTGCACGGTAAACATCCTTCAGGGTTATCTTGATCTTGCCCTTCTCTCCCTCGGTTTCTAGCAGAACGGTGCTCACTCCAACCGTCTTGCAAACCGCATCCACCACACCTTCTAGGATGATGCTGTCCGTGAGCAGTCTGTAGTCGTTGAAGTCGGACCTGTCATCCATGACATGGACGGCTGCTGCTGAGTCCATTTTCCAAGCCAGCTTGGCGAGCGACTTCTCAGCTGCTGACTTGATTTCCTCGGCTTTGGAGGTGGTGGAGGTGGATAGGGCCATTACCAGCTGCTTGCTGCGTCGATTGTTGCCCTTGTTATTGCCCCTTGTGATGAGTGGACACTGGGACTTGATGTGCTCGAGAATGCCACATTTGTGGCACTTGTGGCTTGTGTAAGGGTTGATCAAAACCTCAGGCCTGCTGGGGCTGGTACCCACCCCGATGTTGACGTTTCCCTGACCTCTACCTGCTCCACCACGGTAGTCACCACCGATGCCATGGTGGCCTGCTGCACTGCTCCGGTTGTTGAACACCAGGGCCTCGACCTAGGCCCACTCTACATTGGTATCACCTTGCATCCGCTCCACCAGGAGTAGAGCGGTCTTCATTTCTGAAAGCTTCAGGTCGCTCGGCGGCTTGGCAGCAAAAAGCATCTGCTGCATTTGAAATTTCTTCTGCAAACCGCCCAAGATGGCCAGGGCGAATCGGCAGTCGTCGATCTTCGAGCCCACTGCAACCATTTGCTCACGCAGATCCTCTGCTTCCTCGAAGTATTCAACAACGGACTGGCCTGTCCTTTGCTTCAGGTTGCTAAATATCTGCTTTATGAACAAGATGTTTGCTCTGATCTCAGAGACGCATTCGGCGCGGATCGCATCCCACGCTGCGGCAGAGTCGGCTGCTTGATCGATTAGCCTATGAAAACGGGGCACCGTGTATTTCACCAATTGCGATTTCGCCTTCATAGACTTCTCGGCGACGGCGCTCGGCATGTCTGCTGCTTCGTCCCACAAGTCCTTGCCGGCCAGGCAGTACTTCATGGCCGTCCGCCAGCGAAAATAATTGGCGTAGCTGTCTAAGCGCTCTACATCGTTATCCTTCCCCATACTTGTCCTATCTCTAAGCCAGAGAGTTGCTAAGCCAGCAAGTTCGGACACAGTACTTAAGCAAAACGCTCGCTCGCTTGCCGCGGCGGCGCGGGGCTCATAACCTGTTAAGATATAGGCGAGTGGAACTGTGTAGGTAAAGCCAACCTCAACCGTTACAGGTATCACAGAACAATCTTTCAGTCAGAACATCATCTCCTTTATACCAAACATTCCATCTTATCTGTCGTACAGCCGTTAGTGTTCTGGCCGGATGCCAACAGTCTGCACCATGGG